TGAAACTTATATTTTTACCATATATTGATATATTTTACGTGTCAAGTCTATTATATTCGACATTGATAACTTTTCTTGAATAACAATCGGTGCCAAAAGGCGCAATTGTTACATAACCACCTGGTTCCTTCCATATTTTCGTATATCTTGCTTTGTCCATAACACATTTGTTTGAGATTTATCATTTTTAGAATTCAGGGTAATAAAAGGCTTGGAAATTATGAGAATCATGTGTACACTTTCAGCTTAAAGCATTTGAGTGGAACTCCCAACCTTTAATCGGATAAGACTCATAATAGTTTCAAGAACATAGAATATGGAAGTTATGATTTTCGTGATTATAATTGTACCAAGAAAATTATGACCAAAATGCTTAAATACTTTCTTTGTCTGAAAACTATCAAGGCAGACTTCTTTGTCCAAAAACTACTTAAACTATCAAAAGACAGTTTATAACAGTCCTGCACTGTCACTAAATTTGAATTATTAATGAAAGAACCTTAGATCAAACAATTTATCAAACAATGACTATCAATAAGAACAACGAAGTTTCACAAAGAACTTTCACTAAGAATGATAATCTCACAAAGAGATTATAGTTTGCACAAAGCAGCTATTAAGGTTTGTGAAAGACAACATCTCACAAACCTGTACAAAAGACTATATAGAACTATTTTAGACAATCCCTACAAATTAGGGATATTCCAGCTAACTAATAAACGATAACTATGGAAACAAGATAAATACTAAATCTGTTACATAATATTGAATATAAAGATATACACTGAACAACTTGCATGTTGATGCTGATGCTGACGCTGGATTACGTGCTGATGCTGAGTGATCAGTTTCAAACATCATCATATTATAAGGTTCGACCTTACAATCTCCCCCAATATGATGATGTTCAAAAAACAGCTATACTAGAACACCTCTGGACATAAATTCTTCATACTCAGCTTCAGCTTCTATTTTGACTGGCCAGTAAGGACTATCCAGCAACTCCTGTCTTCTATTCAGTAAATCCATAGCAATCAGTATCTGAAACTCTCCAGAGAGATCTTGATGACTCATCCACATTTGTCTTAAACCAACAAGATGTGCTGTTAGAGCTCTTGGAGTTTCTGTAGTGCGCTGAAAACACATTTTCCTGTTTTTATCAAGATAAAACATTCCATGTTCAGGAACAGAGATGAACTTATGTTGAACCGGCTCAACACCGATAGGAAGAGAGTTGTTTATTCCTTCAGCACCAAAATTTAGAACCAATACATCTTCACTATCAACTTGAAATCTAGTTCTTCTGATTCTTGGAACTGAGGAACTTGAGCCTTGCTGCTGAGGACACTATGTAGGAACAAGATCCAGACGCTGAACTTTCTTGATCAGTAAATGAAGAGCGCATGTCAGTTCTGAAGAGAGAGCTGAAGTTTGCTTGGATGCTAATTCGAGCAATTCCATCCATTCAGAGTATCCATATCTGATCAGCTCATCCTTCTTGACAACTTCAGTGTATGAATGTTGAAGACCTTGACGCGTGATCAACAAAGTAAGAATTTTCTCGTTACGAGGTTTTGAGGCTTTAACTTTGATGATCTTATCATTGCTCCCTCTTCGTTTAAGAACATCTTGAAACCTCTTGCGATGAATCCTGTCGAGAACACTATCAGTTCTTGACTTGCTGCTACTGGGAGGAGGCTGTGAAGATTTAGATTTGGACTAATATTCTAAAAACTTTTGCATCTGAGCTTCAAAGGATCCTTTGGCCTGAAGTTTATGCTGAATGAGAGATTCATCAGCTTAAGCAATATTCTTTGGAAGCTGAGCTTTATTGGCTTCATCAAGAATTTGCTTAACTTGATCAGGAGACATGTTCCATTCAGCTGCCAAATTGGATATGCTGACCATGGACTTAGGTTTCTTGCTAGAAAGAGAAGTATCAGTATGTGAAACAACCAATTCAGTATCTGCTGCCTTGCGCTTGCGAGATAGAGGTTGAAGATCCTCGCTAGCTACATTTGAGTCTTCTCCTTGAACTGGCACAATGAGATCAATGAAGTTCATATCTAGCATTTGACACTCATCATCATGTTCATCTTCATCATCATCTGAGGCTTCTCCTTGAACTGGCACAGTGGGATCAATGAAGTTCATGTCCAGCATCTAACATTCATCATCATGTTCATCCTCATCATCATGCTCACTATCTTCAACAAGCTTTTCAGTATCAGCTGGTCTATCAGACTCGTCAGTAGGCTTTTCAGTTTCTGCTATTTTATCAGACTCGTGCACAGGCTATGGTGGCTCGGTCTGGTTTAAAATGTTATCTTCAGATCCAAGCTCAACAGAGTCAGTTTCTCCCCCTTTTTTTTTTATCATCATCATGTTTTGGGCAAGGGGAAGGAGTTGACAAAAGAATCCCTTCAGTTGGTGGACATCAGCCTCAATTCGTAGAAGATGCTGACTCATGTCCCGAGTCAGTGTAAGAAGCTCATTAAATACTGAGGCCGGTATATGAATGAACCGAGTACCTGGAACTTCTTGTGAGCGATGCTGCTCCCCCTGAGAATGTTGCTCCCCCTGGGATGGTTGCTCCCCCTGAGATGGTTGCTCCCCTTGAGCTGAGTGAACCCGTTCAGTGATAGAAAGAGTATGATGAGAAAGTTGAGGGGAGAGATGACCACTGTCCTGCGTTTCAGCTTGTTGATCAGCATGAATTTCGTTGTCAGCTCCTTCATTAGTATCAGCGGTTAGTGAAGGAACAATATATGGATTTGCGATCCATTCTCTCATTCGATTAGAGATGCCGATGTCATTTGCCATTGGATCATCCTGATACATTCGTACTGACATGCGTGGGCATTGGATGGGGTTTCTACAGTGGGAGTAGTAGGCTTCAGCGAAAAATTTATCTAGGACAAGAGCAATCTAGCGTGGAAAGGGGACATGATCAGTGCGTGCATTGGCACGAAGAAGTAGGACAAGCTGATCAAAGAAGAAAGCCCCATAATCAAGAAGTTTGTTAAGAAGAAGGGAACATACAACTTGTTGCTCATAAGTACTCAGTTGATCACCATTGCGAGATTTGTGACCTACACATTTGCACAGTGCCTCGGTGAAGAACTTCCATCCTGGAGTCATACATTGACGCATAATGAGAGCTGATCGAGCACCAGCCTTCGAGTGATCATAGCCTAGTTGATCAAAGAGGCGTCGACAGTGTTCAATAGTTGGAAGCTCAGAGAATGGTTCAAAAATTGGTAATCTGAGCGCAACACTGAGGAGATCAGCGGTGATAAAAATTGAGCGTCGCCCACGCCCAATAGTCCCGGAGATGATGTTGTTTTCATAATTAACCGTTGCGGTGTAGTAGAACTCACATACTTGTTCGGGAAAGAACTCTGATGGAACCTCACTGATTGCGTATCAAAGTCGGCAGGAGACTAAGAAATTGACAAAATCATCAAGTCCAAGACCACGCAGGTCAGTTCTGAAGAGAGAGCTGAAGTTTGCTTGGATGCTAATTCGAGCAATTCCATCTATTCAGAGTATCCGTATTTGATCAGCTCATCCCTCTTTACAACTTCAGTGTATGGATGTTGAAGACCTTGACGAGTGATCAGCAAAGTAAGAATTTTCTCGTTACGAGGTTTTGAGGCTTTAACTTTGATGATCTTATCACTGCTCATTCTTCGTTTAAGAACATCTTGAAATCTCTTGCGATCAATCCTGTCGAGAACACTATCAGTTCTTGACTTGCTGCTACAGGGAGGAGGCTGTGAAGATTTAGATTTGGACTGATATTCTAAAAACTTTTGCAACTGAGCTTCAAAGGATCCTTTGGCCTAAAGTTTATGCTGAATGAGAGATTCATCAGCTTGAGCAATATTCTTTAGAAGTTGAGCTTTATTGGCTTCATCAAGTATTTGCTTAACTTGATCAGGAGACATGTTCCATTCAATTGCCAAATTGGATATGCTGACCATGGACTTAGGTTTCTTGCTAGGAAGAGAAGTATCAGTATGTGAAATAGCCAATTCAGCATCTGCTGCCTTTTGCGAGATAGAGGTTAAAGATCCTCGCTAGCTACATCTGAGTCTTCTCCTTGAACTGGCACGATGAGATCAATGAAGTTCATATCTAGCATTTGACACTCATCATCATGTTCATCTTCATCATCATCTGAGGCTTCTCCTTGAACTGGCACAGTGGGATCAATGAAGTTCATGTCCAGCATCTTTCATCATCATGTTCATCCTCATAATCATGCTCACTATCTTCAACAAGCTTTTCAGTATCTGCTGGTCTATCAGACTCGTCAGTAGGCTTTTTAGTTTCTGCTATTTTATCAGAATCGTGCACAAGCTGTGGTGGCTCGGTCTGGTTTAAAATGTTATCTTCAGATCCAAGCTCAACAGAGTCAGTTTCTCCCCCTTTTTGATCATCATCATGTTTTGGGCCAAGGGAAGGAATTGACAAAAGAACTCCCTTCAGTTGGTGGACATCAGCCTCAATTCATAAAAGACGCTGACTCATGTCCCGAGTCAGTGTAAGAAGCTCATTAAATGCTGAGGCCGGTATATGAATGAACTGAGTACCTGGAACTTCTTGTGAGCGATGCTGCTCCCCCTGAGAATGTTGCCCCCCCTGGATGGTTGCTCCCCGTGAGATGTTTGCTCCCCTTGAGCTGAGTGAACCCGTTCAATGACAGAAAGAGTATGATAAGAAAGTTGAGGGGAGAGATGAACACTGTCCCGTGTTTCAGCTTGTTGATCAGCATGAATTTCGTTGTTACCATCAGCTCCTTCATTAGTATCAGCGGTTAGTGAAGAAATAGTATATGGATTTGCGATCCATTCTCTCATTCGATTAGAGATGCCGATGTCATTTGCCATTGGATCATCCTGATACATTCATACTGACATGCGTGGGCATTGGATGGGGTTTCCAGAGTGGGAGTAGTAGGCTTTAGTGAAAAATTTATCTAGGACAAGAGCAATCTAGCGTGGAAAGGGGACATGATCAGCGCGTGCATTGGCACGAAGAAGTAGGACAAGCTGATCAAAGAAGAAAGCCCCATAATCAAGACGTTTGTTGAGAAGAAAGGAACATACAACTTGTTGCTCATAAGTACTCAGTTGATCACCACTGCGAGATTTGTGACCTACACATTTGCACAGTGCCCCAGTTAAGAACTTCCATACTGGAGTCATACATTGACGCAGAATGAGAGCTGATCAAGCACCAGCCTTCGAGTGATCATAGCCCAGTTGATCAAAGAGGCTTCGACAGCGTTCAATAGTTGGAAGCTCAGAGAATGGTTCAAAAATTGGTAATCTGAGCGCAGCACTGAGGAGATCAGCGGTGATAAAAATTGAGCGTCGGCCACGCCTAATAGTCCCGGAGATGACGTTGTTTTCATAATTAACCGTTGCGGTGTAGTAGAACTCACATACTTGTTCGGGAAAGAACTCTGATGGAACCTCACTGATTGCGTATCGAAGTCGGCAGGAGACTAAGAAATTGACAAAATCATCAAGTCCAAGACCGCGATGAACATCTGGTATATCAGGGTTGAAAACGACATTTGTGGATTTGATGCATATGGGAAGAGGAGGAGAGTTTGGATCTGGGACGACTCTTATTGAAGTGGAGGAGAAGGTGAACAGTGATGCCGCCATTGAAGAGAGTTAGGATTCTAGGTTGTTTTTTTAAGAGAGAGAGGGAAGTTTGAATGATGGGAGGAAGGTTTAGGAGAGAGGTGAAAAGGTTTAAATATGGGATTAAACGGTTAAAAAAAGGTAATGATTATCTTTATCGAACATAACTGCGTGTCTTGACAGGCTGTCAAATCAAAAAAATAGCCGTTGGGTAAAAAGAGTCGTTGTACTGAAGAGGAAACGACAATCAGTGTTTGTGGAAGCGCTGGGATCATTGTCACGAAAAGTTACATGCTGAAAGATAGTTTGTCGTCAATTCAAGGTACAACTTACGTGTTTAGGGTTAGCAAGGTGATTGGTGCGTGTGATAGATATTGGTTTAATTATCTAACCATCGACACAGCGTGTCGAGTCTTTATCAGTGAGTGGTATTTTTTTACTGAATCATTAGACACTGAGTGAGAAGAAGGTGAAGAGAGGATTGTTGCGTGTGATAGACCTTGGTGTTTTGGTCTAACCATCGGCAATGACTGTTAGATTCTCATCAGCATGTGTTTTGTCACGCTGAATCACAGAATCAATGTAAATTAATAAGAGGGGATAGTTGCGTGTGATAGAGCTTGATGTTTTGTCTAACCATCGGCAAAGAGTTTCAAGTTTTTATCAGTGTATGGTTTAATACAGTGAATCATTCAACTTTAGTTTAGAAGATTTGTAGAAGAGATAGAGATAAGAAATCATACAATGTACTCAGCATGCTAAACATCATCAGCACATCATCATCAGCAAAAAAACATTAGTTTATAAGACAATAGCAAACATTAGTAAAACATTTTCAATCCAGAGTGATCATTCCAAGTTCGCCAATAATGTGAGCATTAGTTTGAGTATCCAGGGCCTTGGTAAAAATATCAGCTAGTTGATCGGAAGTCTGGACATGTTTTAGAACAACCTTGCCCTTCTCAACATTGTCTCTGATGAAGTGATGTCTGATCTCGATATGCTTTGTCTTTGAGTGTTGAACAGGATTCTGTGTGATCTGAATGACACTGGTGTTATCACAGTATATAGGAGTCTTTGTGAATTTAAGCCCATAGTCTAAAAAGTTGATTTTGAATCCATAAGATTTGAGCACAACGTCTCCCAGCTGCAACATACTTAGCTTCTGCAGTGGAGATAGCTACTGAGGTTTGTTTCTTGTTGGACCAACTGATTAGTCGATTTCCAAGGAAATGACATCCACCTGACGTGCTCTTCTTGTCTAAGTTGCATCCTGCATAGTCGGAATCAGTGTATCCAAAGAGTTTAAGCGCTGAGTCACGAGGGTACCACAGTGCCAAGTTCTGCGTGGCCTTTAAGTATCGAAAGATGCGTTTGACTGCAATGAGATGAGACTCCTTGGGATTAGCTTGGAATATAGCACAAAGAATGGTTCCAAACATGATATCAGGGCGACTTGCAGTGAGGTAGAGAAGTGATCCAATCATTCCTCGATAAAGAGAGTGATTAACATCAGTGCCAGTGGGATCAACGTGTAGCTTATTAGTCTTGGACACCGGAGTAGAAGTTGGTTTGCAGTCGCTGAGAGAGTACTTAACTAGCATGTCAGCAATATATTTACTTTGAGAAATTGAGATACCTGATTTTTGTTGCTGAACCTCAAGTCCTAACAAGAAAGACATCTTCCCCATCATGCTCATTTCGAACCTTTGAGACATGATCTCAGCGAATTCTTTGCTCAGCTTCTCATTTGGAGATCCAAAGATGATATCATCGACATAGATTTGAACAAGAATCATTTCCAAGCCTTTCTTTTTGATGAAGAGAGTATTGTCAATTGCTCCTCTTTTGTAGCCATTTTCAAGAAGATATGATGTCAGTGTCTCATACCAGGCCCTAGGAGCTTGCTTCAGTCCATATACAACTTTATCTAGTTTGTACACATAGTCAGGGTGCTCTTTGTCTTCAAAGCCTGGGGGCTGTTTGAGAAATACTTCTTCTTGTAACACACCATGAAGAAATGCCGTTTTGACATCCATTTGGTATACAATGAAGTTCATGTATGAGGCATATGCGAGAAACAGTTTGATTGCTTCAATGCGGGCAACTGGAGCAAAAGTCTCCCCGTAGTCGATGGATTCAATTTGAGTGAACCCCTGAGCAACAAGTCTTGCTTTGTTGCAAGTAATAATACCATCTTTATCAACCTTGTTGCGGTAGACCCAACGTGTTCCAGTGATGGTCTTTCCTGATGGTCTGGGAACAAGGGTCCAAACCTTGTGCCTTTCGAACTCGTTCAGCTCGTCTTGCATTCCGGAACTCAGTGCCATGATCACTCCTAAGCTGCTTAACTTTGAGACCAGTCAGTGTCTCGTTTTGACGAATCAGGGAGATGATTTCTTGTGCAGCATGACTTTTCTTCTTCAAGAAAACCACCCATGTAAATCGAGTAAACTCATCCACAACCACCAGAGTATACTTGTTTCCTCCTTGGGAACGAACATGAATAGGTCCAAAAAAGTCCATGTGTAGTAAATGAAGAGGAACATATATGCTAGAACATGACTTGGGTTTGAATGACGACTTGGTTTGTTTTCCTTGTTCACACGCTGAGCACATCTTGTCTTTGACAAAGCTATGTTTTGGGAGACCTCTAACTAGATCTTGATTGGATATTTTAGATAGATTCTTAAAGTTCAAATGAGAGAACCTTTTGTGCCAAATCCAGCTGAGTTTGGGTTGAGACTTTGTAAAGAAACATTGCATCAACACCTTGTCACTTGAGAGCATGTCAAGAACATATATATCATCTTTTCTACTTGCTGAGAGTACAATGTTCTTGTCAGTGTTAACAACTCTTCCTTCCTTCTTCGTAAAATGAACTTCATAATCAACATCACACAATTGGCTGATTGAGATGAGATTGTGTTTGAGACCCTTTACATATGAAACATTCTGAAACACCACATTATTGCACTTGATGTTTCCACATCATTTAGTAAACCCCTTTCCATTGTCTCTGTATGTTACTGCAGGACCAGTTTTCTTGACATAGTCTTCCAGGAGAGACTTGGATCCTGTCATATGTCTTGAGCAACCACTATCTAAGTACCAAAGATGCTCCTGACCCTGATACATTGAAGGAGAATCAGTGTTGTGCTTCCTGGAGTTTTCAACTGCATCAGACATATCAACATCAAACGAACTGTTGTTGACTTTACATTCATCATTGTCTTCTATCTTGGTCATCATACATTTAACTTCATCATCTGATGACTCCTCACTAGTCTTCCAATTTTCTTCTTTAGCGACAAGAACTTTATGTTCAAGGTTCTCTACTTTCAGTTTCTCAACCAACTTGTTGTACTTCTGCTTCCAGTATTCATCCGAGCTTTGGGTTCTTTGCTTGCATTCTTTTGCAAAATGATCAGTGCTACCACAGTTAAAGCACTGAGCTTTCCCTTTCCTTTCAGTAGCATGTTTGTCAGCATCTGATCTTTTTGAAGATTTCCCACTCATCTTTTTCTAAAACTTTGAGAAATTTTGGCCTGATTTCTCAAAAGTCTTCACAATTAAAGCGGCACTAGCAACAACCTTTTCCAGATCATTAGTCTCGCTTTTAGAAGAATCAGTGTTTGAATGGTTTTCAGTGTTTGACTCTGACACTTGCTTTTTGTTTGAGAATAATGCCACTGATGACTCACGCTGAGCATGCTTCATCAACTCCTTTCTCTGAAGCTTGGATTCCTTATAGTATCGAAGGTTTCCATAGAGACTTTGTAAGTCCATTGTGTTGATCTTGTCACTATTTTTCAGCACATCAACATGATTCTCCCAACCTGCACCCAGATAATCCAAAAACATCTACACTAGAACAGTTCGATGCTCCAACTAATCTAGTCTCTACAGATCATTAACAAGAGTATTAAACCTGTTAAAGGTTTGAGTCAGGGTTTCACCTTTCTTTGCAAAAAAATGTTCATACCTTCTGTTTAGATCATTTATTTGAGTAGCCTTGACTTCTTCAGTGCCTTCAAAAGATATAGTCAGCGTGTCCATCATTTCTTTTGCTGAGATGCAGTTCTGAACCAACCCAAAGATATTGTATGGCAAAGCATAGCTGATTGCAGCCCGAGCACGAACATCGAGAACATTATTTCTTTTGTCATCTGCTGTCCAGTTTTCTCTAGGTGTTTTCTTCATGACACCATCAGGAACATTGTTTTTCAAGGGCTGATACATCGGAACATATGGACCTTTTTCGATGATGTCCAACATGTCTTCATCTATAGATTCTAATGCATAGAGAGCCTTTATTTTCCACATAGCAAAATTGGTTTCATCAAACGGGGGAATTTTAGCAGAAGGATGATTTGATGAGTTTAAAGAGGAAGATGATGAAGCCATTTGTTTGATAAAAGAAACCTGCTCTGATACCAATTGAAAGAACCTTAGATCAAACAACTTATCAAACAATTTATCAAACAATGACTATCAATAAGAACAACGAAGTTTCACAAAGAACTTTCACTAAGAATGATAATCTCACAAAGAGATTATAGTTTGCACAAAGCGGCTATTAGGGTTTATGAAAGACAACATCTCACAAACCTGTACAAAAAGACTATATAGAACTATTATAGACAATCCCTACAAATCAGGGATATTCCAGCTAACTAATAAACGATAACTATGGAAACAAGATAAATACTAAATCTGTTACATAATATTGAATATAAAGATATACACTGAACAACTTGCATGCTGACGCTGGATTACGTGCTGATGCTGAGTGATCAATTTCAAACATCATCATATTATAAGGTTCGACCTTACAATTAATAAGGGTCAAAATGAAGTAAAAAAAACCGGATTCATTTACAAGAATTTGACCCTATCCAGGGGCTCTTCCCCTTGGACCCCTTGGACTGCCACCCCTTGGACCCCCGCTCCTAGAGGCGCTTCCCCCAAACTCCCGTTTGTTCAGGGGATACGCCCTTAAATGATAGTGTACTCTAAAA